TCTGAAAAGCAGTGGAAAAACTCAGGTGAGGGTTAAAATATATAAATAAATAAATAAAAGGGGACTCTTGAAAATAGTTTTTATGTTCCAAAAGAACATATCTTAAAAAACTCATTTCAGATGTTCTTGGGAGTTGGGGTTTTCATGATTTAGTCAAACAGAAACTTATCTTAAGAAACTTGTAGTCCTATCATGAAGGTAGTTCCCTGTTCCACCGTTCATAGTAAGCCTGGGAAGGCCATTTTGCATTCATCAAACTATATGCTATCTATTTAGTCATTCTAGTATTTTCCTTCCCAATTTCCTTTTGCTAAATTGTTAACTAAGTTAACTTAGCAAAAGAGAGTTACTTCTTATACCATGGATCCAAAAGCAATAGCTAGTTAAGAAAACAAATATCTTTTTCTCTATTCTGGATTATTTCCTGAGATCTACCTTCAAAATCACCAATTCTGTGTCCAGCTATGTTTAGTTTCACTGATTATATATTTTTCATTTCCAGTATTTCTCTTTGGCTGTTTTTTTCCCTAGTCTTCCCATTCTTTATTTATGTGCTCCTCTCTTAACCATGGCTTCTTTCTTTTACCTCTGTGAAGTCTCTTTCAGAATTTTGTATCAGTTCGCAGGATGTGAAATTTTTTAGTTGTGCATTTGCTGGCTTTCATGAAGCTTCCTTTTCCTCATGTGCTCTTTGCTCTGCACAGACCCAAGGCTTCCCCTTGTGTTCCTTCCCCAGCTTCATAACACTAGCCCCAGAACAGCAACATTGAGTCATAAACTACCTTAAATAGTGCATTTCTCAGGGACTTCTTAGACGTGCTTGAACTAAATTCTGCCCTAGCAATGAAGTCCTATATCATTTGATCAACAACAGTATACCCCTGAATCAGATTTTTCTCATGGACTATTCAGTTTCAGCCCTTCATTCTCTGACCTCTTCATTCCTGATAACTTGGTGCCTCCTTCTTGCTTTTGAGGTTAACTTTGAGTCTTACTTTGTTTTATGTTACAGCTTGTCAATTTGTTACATTCCCCCGCCCCCAGCATTTCTACGTATTTTAAGCATGAAGAGCGATTTCCTATGTCTCCTCTAGTCTTACTGACTAGAAATATTCCCATCTTTTAGTCCACCTTATGCTGTCCTAGTAGTCACTATAAGAATGTGTGATCTCTTCTTTGGGATATTTCTGGTGACATGGATGGTCTCAGTCACATTTCCTCATTTACTTTTTCTATATAGGTTTTGGAGTACCACAGACCAAAGCCATCATGACTCTGGTGTCTGGGATTCCGATGGGCCCACCCCGGCTCCCACTGCACAGAGCCTCCAAGGAGTTTATTGATAATGCGGAAGCTAAATTGAAGAGTCTGGGTTTCCTTTCTTTTACTGATTTAAATAATGTAAACTTGGAAGCCTGTAGCTAACACCTCTCTATAGAGTCAGGGTGTGCACATTGAGATATAATCCACTTTGATTAGTGCATTCATTTCTCAAGGACTTTATAGATGAGCTTGAACTAAAATCTTTCCAAGCAAATGAAATATCAATCACGTATTTAAGTACCTACTGTGATCTTTAAAGAGTTTTATTTTGTGAAGGGGTAAAGACTCCAAAAAGGAGTCATGAGCCCTGAGCCATATCAATATTGCACAAAATTTTTGCGGAGAAATTCCTGCTTATATGGATGAAATGGTATCAAAAGGAAAATTGTAATTAATTCCATCTGCCTTTGGGAGCTCCCATTATCTTGATTTCTGGTTCTTAATCCTATTTTTAAGTTTTCTAATTTTAAACCACTATAATGTACTTTCATTTTAATAAATATTCATTTGGAATCTAAGAAAACTCTGAGCTATGGCATTTAGGCAGGCATGCTAACTTGAATGCCAAATTACAACATGACTTAACTACACACAAGTATTAGCTGCTCGGCTTCCTTAGCTGCTTAGTCAAACTCTAGAACACCTGCTTTCAGATTGTGATGTCACAGGTTTTCCCCAAAACACTGGGTTAGGTTTTCCCAAAACACTTGCTTCAGTTCCATAACCAAAAGGCCCATTAAGGTGGTTTTCACATAACGAAGGAAAGGCCTTCCAAAAAGAATTCAGGTCTCTACTTGTTGCTATATGAGAACTTAGTAAAGTTCAAAGTTTCAAAGAACCAAAGAATTCTGCTCTGGACACCACAAACTTCCCCTATCCACACTGAGAAAAAGTAAAAACATCCCATATCCTTATAGAAATGTATTAGTATCTGTGAAAGCTGATATAAAGCAGGCAACGGAATGCTCAAATATACAACTGCATGAAGAAATAAAGCCCCACACCTTAATATGGGAACCATAAGAGCCAATGTGAATATGGTGTTTCAGTGACCACATAAGAAGCATGCCAAAGTGTAAACCAATGTTAAACTAATTTCTATAGGCTAAAGGCAGAGAAAACAAGTATAACTATAAAAGTGGAACAAAGCAAGTTGCCAAGTCCAAGGAACTTGAGTAAATTTCTGTACAGGTAGGCCCAGGGCTTATAGATAAATGTTTCAATAGAAACTGATACAGTGGATACAGAAAAATAATACACATGATCTCCAATGTCATGCTTGCTTATTAAAAAGAATGAATAGAATTGCCCGGCCGGGCATCGACCTAGGATCCAGGAGATCACAGTTCTATTCCCAGTTAGAGCACATTCCCCGGTTGCGGGCTCGGTACCCAGTCGGGGGTGTGCAGGAGGCAGGCAATCAGTGACTCTCTCTCATCATTGATGTTTCTCTCTCTTCCTCTCCCTTCCTCTCTCTGAAATCAGTAAAGATATATTTAAAAAAAAAGAATGAATAGAATTGTGCCTGACATGCAAGCACAGTGAAGTGTTAGTTATTATAAGTTTTTGTAGCTATCCAAGCAATTCAGTGTATATTCTTTATACAACTGAGAACATTACATCACTGCTAAATCTTTTAACTAATAGCTGTCAAAATAATAACATATGCAAAGCAAGTCATAAAAAAAGAATTCTAAAAGAAACTGGCATTTCAATGAATACCAGTAATTTTAAAGGTATCAGATATGTTTTATTCTCCATCCTCAAAATCTAGACAGTCATTTCTGCTGGAATCCAGATTAGGCACGTCATCTGTGACATTCATTACACTAAAAGGCATCAGTCTTAAATACTCAGCCATTAACAGTACCACTGTCAATTCCACTTTTAAAAATGATTTCACTTTTCTCTTGTTTTAATGTATTGTACTTGCTGTGTCTAGCACATTTCAGGTCTGTCCATATTTTCTCCAGCTGCATTGCTCATTTAGTGGGCACACACAATTCCACTCAACAGCATCTTTCTCTGGGTCTAGAGCATTAACTTTAAATTTAATGTTAGACCAAAGCCTTCCTGGCTTTTGAGCCATGGCTTACTGCAGTAACACATTCAAAACTAAGTCTTATATGAACAATCCAAACTCTACCTCTGATCAGCTTTGTGTTTTGTGTCTTGTTATTTTACTAACAAAATTATGCCTTAGTGGGTGTATGTCCGCTTGTAACAACACCTCTTGGCCAGTGTTGTCCCTAAGATTCAAGCCCAAGGACCTACTGATGTAGTGAAGAGTTCAGTTCAGTCTAGTATAAAATACCAAAGGGTATATGGTTGTATGGGAGGCAGGGCTGTCCTGTGGTTATTTGTATGATCTCAGACCCAGGCCATGTGGGTTCAGTCTCAGCGCTACCACTTACTAGCCCTGTGACCTATATGTTATTTAATTTTTCAGTCCTTCAGTTATCTATAACATGAAAATTGTAATATGTACCTCCTGGGGTTATTGTGAGGATTATATGACATTATACATATAAAAGTCTTAAAATAGTGCTTGGCACATCATAAGCACAGTGAACTGTTAGCTATTTTTGTAGTTATCCAAACAATTCAGTATGTGTTTATACAACAGAGAAACATTACATCACTGCTAAACCTTTTAACTAATACCTGGCAAAATAAAGTTGAAAATGATACTAAACCCAAGGCAAGAACTGAAATGAAAATTTGCATTTATTATTATCTCATATTTTTGTGCCACTCTCATATTTTTCCTAGGTTGGGGATTTTTGTGCTTACTTCTAACCGTAGAGGACAGGGAATGAAAAATATCTGCATGCTCTTAAATGACCCATGTGTGACTGGAACAATGAAAAATACAAGAGAGAAAGCTTTTGGCTAAGTGATTTTAGAGAAACAGCAGGACAAACAGGCATAGATAGAAAAAGGAGCATGATTTGAAGCTTCATCTGCAACTGTTAAGGAAGATCTTAGAGGGTGCGAGTTGTCCAGGGCAACCTACAAAGGTAATGCAAGTCACTGGCACCCAATCCCCTGGAGATTCTAGGTTTCAGGTGTAAGGACTAAAGAACCAACTCAATAATAAAATTTTCCATAATCCGTGGAAGCCAAAGCTCCACCTCTGAAAATTTTGTTGATATTTAATATGTCTCTGTGTTCATTATCTAATTCAAAATACTTGCAATCCATTTATGCTAGTTGAGTTTTCCCTTATCATAAATATCAGGCACTTGCAGCTGTAAGCACCCTGAAAGGTACAAAGAAATAAAAATTACTTTTTCCTGAACGATGTTACCCTTAATCAAAAACAAGTACTTGGAGAACATAAAAGAATGAATAAATGCTAAACTGTTATTCTGATTGTAAGAGCAACAGAGTTGTAAAGGTATTGATTACTATGATCTAGAAGAGTTAACAAAATAATGACAGAGGTGAAAAATAAGGCTGTATAGGTGGAACAGGCCCAGGTAAATTGATTAGTCTGGATTCTCTGGAACAACCCCAACTTATTGCTGCCTTTACGGGAAGCAGTCGAGTTCAAAATTTAACAGTGACTATTACAGTTCAGGAGGCAAAGTATTCCAAAGACTCTGAAGACAGAAGGATCTCCGCTGTAAGCCAAAACAACCCTGAAGGATGTATCTATTCATTAAACTAGTTTTTACTGAGCTCTTAATATGCAAAGCACTGCGGTGAGTGGCCTGAGCTAGCTAAGCAGGGTTCCTGCCTTCACTGACCTCGTTCCTTTTTAAGGAGACGTTCGCGTTACAGTATCTGAATCGCTACAATAACACTCATTGAACAACTATTACCTGCCAAATACTGGGCTAAGCGTCTTTCACGTGCTATCTCATTTAATCATCACAACCACCCTATAAAGTTAGCACCTAAGATTTCCAGTGCAGTCTTGGAAGGGCACCTCATCCACGAGAGGGCCTTATGACAAAAACTGCAGACGTTTTATTGCATGAAAATGGTACACGACCCCAGCTCCCCAAAACCTTCAAAAGCGGCCTGCGCAGTAACACAAGCGACCCGCGAGGCGGGGCGGGTCTCCTAGGCGACGGGATGCTCCGGCTCCGCCCCTCCCGCGCGGCGTCTAACGCGCCGAGCTCGCTTTCTGCGCCTGTGTACGCGCCCCGGCCCCGCCCCTCTGTTGCCGCCGCGGGAGCCATTTCTCCGCCGCCTCCGTCCAAGCGGCGGTTTGTTCACCGGGTATTTCCGAGACAGGCCGGAGCCGCGGACGGTCGTAAGAGGCCTGTGCTCTCGGGCACCAGGTAGCGAAGGCCGGTAGGGGAAAGATGTC